GATGGCAAGCTTGCTCCTAGCACCTGCAACCAAAGACTTGAGTGTGCCTTCTGGGTATTCACCAACATGCGATTGCAGCTTCTCCTAACATGCAGTGCTTGGGGTCTTCACCAAAGATGATGTAAGAAAGCCCACAGGCAACTAAATTATGCTATTTAGTTTATTCAGCAAATTTGTTTGTATCAACATCTCCTTCTGGCAATGTTTATAGATCATCCCCCTATCCTACATCCCCCTTTTCTACAAATGCACATCTCTGGCTTTTGAATGGATGCTCCTGCTGGGCGCCTTGTAAAAATAAATACACTCAAAAGTGGAAGGTAATTAGGAGGAAGCCATTTTTGGCAATTATCCAGGCACAGATTAACATACAGCACCTCCGATTTTCCCTCGAAGCACAGAAATCTTCATCCTCTTTCCCTGGCCCTCCCTTCCTGGTTTAATGACAGCAGTAACCATATGCTATCTTTGGTGCTTGTTTTGCTATTTGGTGTTTTTTAAATTATTATTATTATTATTTAGTTTTACCTCGGAAAGCAAAGCCAAAATCTTGGGAATGCGTGCTGAAGCAAGAACCTTTAGTAAGGCAAACCCAGGTGTCTGGCTAAAGAATCGGTTCAGAATTATTATTAATATCATTAAAATACAGAAAAGGAAAAAGAATGTACAAAGTTGTAGAAGGCAGGAAAGAGACAGAAAGCCATATTACCCATCCAGAAAATACAAGACATATATTCACATGCATACATACAAATATAGGTAGTCCTCATTTTACAACTGCCTCTTGTAGCAATTGTTTGCAGTTATAAAAGTGAGGAAAATGTAATTTTGTGAACAGTTCCCATTTTATGACCTTCACGGCATCTCTCCCTCAATTGCACACTTGCCGCTGCTATCAGTTAGTATGTGTTGTCCTGTTTAAAATCGAAAGCACAGTTATCATATGACGTTTAACTTAGAAACTGCTTTGTTTAATGACTGAGTTGCCAGTCCAAATTGTAGCTGTTAAATGAGCACCACTTCATAAAATTGTACATTAAACATTTCTCTGAATGGGAGACACGATTTCTTGCAATCATCTGTAGCTAATAGCTAATGTATATTGATAAAGTATTGATTCATAGATTGCTGATGACATCAATGTGCAGACGACTGAATAGTTGGAGCCATCGTGTGCTAAAAGAATCCAAGGGAGAGCCTGTGATATTGCATGCATAAGTTTCCCCTTCTTGTTCATGAATATTATAATAAGGGTTGAGATCTGCTGGAAAAGTTATTGGACAAATTGGGCATAGGTGGATTGGGGTGGAATTGCATAGCAGCTGTCCTGATGAAGTCAGAGGCACTAACCCAAAGTTGTAATCTTTATTATCATCCTCCAGAAAGAAAAAAACACACAAGATAGTCAGGAACACAACAACATCACAAGATAAATTAAACAGTACACAGAACACACAGAAGAAATAAGGAAACTCCCACTGTATACTACAACAACTAATCATAGTGTATTTTTCAAGAGACAACTGGACTTTCTGGTTTTTCTTTGAAGATGTTTTGCTTCTCATCCAAGAAACCGCTTCAGCTCTGAAGAAGCTTCTTGGATGAGAAGCAAAATGTCTTCAAAGAAAAACCAGAAAGTTCAGTTGTCTCTTGGAAAAGCACCTTTGGGACAACCATGACCTGGATGACTGAGAATCTCCATAGATAATCATAGTGTAGATTGCCTCATGCATGAACCAGCACCCTCCAACCAATGAACCACAAGTCTGTGTTATGGTCTATTATATGCTTTACTGTTCCGTCTACAAAATTCAATATCCTAACATGGACCCTTTCTTTTATTGATCAACTGCTTCATTCAAGCTGATCCTGATTTGGATAAAGCTGTGCACAGCAAATAATTTAGCAGTGCTTTCTTAAAAATAAATAAATAAAGGATACTCTTTTGGTTAGAATAAAGGAAGTTAATGTATACATCTATCTTCATGAAAAGTGATGATCAAACTAACTTTAATAGTTTAATATGCAAATACAGTAAATAGCTGTAACTTTTATTTTCACTTGTTATTTTCTCGTGAAAATGACTTTCTTTCTGGAAAAGGCTATAAAGATAGCATGTTTTATACACATAAAATAGGATGTATTGTTACCTTACAGTAATTAAACCTTTTATGACTTCAACAAAAGGCTGTTGCTGTTGTTGTAGTTAGTTGCAAAGTCATGTCCGACCCATCGCGACCCCATGGACAACATTCCTCCAGGCCTTTCTATCCTCTACCATCTTCTGGAGTCTATTTAAGCTCATGCCAACTGTTTCGATGACTCCATCCAGCCACCTCATTCTATGCCGTCCCCTTCTTCTTTTGCCTTCAATTGTTCCCAGCATTAGGCTCTTCTCCAGCGAGTCCTTCCTTCTCATTAGGTGGCCAAAGTATTTGAGTTTCATCTTCAGGATCTAGCTTTCTAAAGGTCAGTCAGGGTTGATCTCTAGGACTGACTGGTTGGATCGCCTTGCAATCCAAGGGACTCGCAGGAGTTTTCTCCAGCACCTCAAAGCAGAGGTGGTATTCAGCAGGTTCTGACCAGTTCTGGAAGACTGGTAGAGGAAATGTTGAGTAGTTTGGAGAACTGACAATTATCACCTCTGACTGTTGATTTTACAGTATCCTTCCCCTGCCACACCCACCAAGTCATGCCCACAGAACTGGTAGTAAAATTTTTTGAATCCTACCACTAGTTCAAAGGTCTCAATTCTTTGGTGCTCAGCCTTTCTTATGGTCCAACTTTCACAGCCATACATTGCAACTGGGAAAACCATAGCCTTGACTATACACACTTTTTCTGGCAGGGTGATGTCTCTGCTTTTTAGTATGCTTTTAGTATAGCTTTTCTCTTTAGGAGCAAGCGTCTGAGTTGATATTCCTACTATGAATACTATCCTAACCCTTGCTTATTGCAAAGAGAATCATTGATTGATTGATTGATTGATTCATTATTTCCTATCTTTATCATTTTTACAAATAATTCAAGTGGCAAACATATCCGATACACTTTCCTCCTGTTTTCCCCACAATAATAACCCTGTGAGGTGGGTTAGACCGAGAGACTGGCCCAAAATTATCCTGCTGGCTTTTATGGCTAAGGCAGGACTTGAACTCATGGTCTCTGGTTTTCTAGCTTGGTGCCTTAAACACTACACCAAACTGGTTCTAAGATATACTATTCTCCAGTCATTTCCTTGCTCCTGCTCCAAACTCTACAAATTTCCAAATACAATTCAGAATGCATGCACTCATTTTTAAAGATAAGCATGATTTAAGAAGCCTGGAGTGATTCTTTACTTTCAGTTTGCATCAGTCTGCTTAGACATAAATGTCTTTGCTTCCTCTTTTCAGGGTTAAATAGGTGCTGCCCAGGGGCATCTATTCTGATATAATTTCTTCATTATTTAAATATTATTTAATGTTTTCTTTCCTAATCTGTTCTCATTTTGCTATCTTTTATTTCCAGGCTTCCTGTTGTACACAGATTATTTGTGATGATCCTTTTTTTTTTTACTCTTGTCAGGCAGTGTATAATTAGTAATATGTTGGAAAGAACATGTTAATTTACTAAATAAAGTACAAGCGCATAAAACACAAATCAACCTCAAATCTCATTTTTATTATAACAAAGGAATGTATTAAAGATTTCAGCGCCTTGGGATTTTATTTATTTGGGAGCATACTTTGAATGGTTTGAAAAATTCCTATTTATGCTGGGATTTAATCCAGGAAATATAATATGAAACGCTGCTCCTGGTCATTTTATGCCACAACTCTGTGTTAAAAATCTTACGTCCATTATTGATTGGAGCAATACCTTTGTTGTGATTAAAAAGTGAGTACATAAATTCACAGCTGAAACTGTCCACCATGATCAATAGCCCTAAATCTAACCTTAACCCATTTTTCAGAAAAAGAGAGAGAGAGAGAGAGAGAGAGATGAAATAAGCAGGCTTAATTGATTGGCGTGCAAAAACTTTTTGGTAGGCAAAAATAGAACAAGAACCATAAAAGTCTTAAGATTAGCTGTCCTGAAGGCCATCTAGCTTGAATTGACAGAAAGATCTTGTCTGAGAAAATGACCATGGCCAGTGGTGGGATTCAATTTTTTTTATTACCATTTCTGTGGGCATGGCTTGGTGGGCATGGCAGGGGACGGATACTGTAAAATCTCCATTCCCTCCCCATTGCAGGGAGATGGTTACCACTGGTTCTCTGAACTACTCAAAATTTCCACTACCAGTTCTCCAGAACTGCTCAGAACCTGCTGAATACCATGTCTGGCCATGCCACCTGCGAGGAAAGTAATTGGTAGGTATGCCCCTTGGCAAATTAAGGTTTCAACTAGATCAGGGGTTTCAAACTCATTGCCTGCGGCCCAGATGCAGCCCGTGGGGTGCTTAGATCTGGCCCACGGGGCTGCCCTGGAAACAGCGAAGCACCATCCCACAGTGCCTCTGCCAGTGAAAATGGAGTGTGGCCCTCCTGAGCTCCGTTTTCGCTGGCAAAGGGTTGTCGGAAGCTGTTGTAGCTGAAAACGGAGCCTGGGAGCCTGTTTTCACTGGCAGAGCACTCAGGCCACCACAGCACCCCTAATCCTAACTCCTGAGCAGCCCATCCTGGCCATGCCCACCCCGGGCCTCTGAGGTCAAACACAACCCTGATGCAGCCCTCAATGAAATTGAGGTTGATACCCCCGAACTAGATGACCACGGTAAGTTACACATACAAGTTATTTTTCAAGCATGCTTCCATCAATAATTATTGGTGAGCTAATGAGATCTATTTCACAATTTTGAAATTCCTATTTACTGGGGTATTTCATGAACTGGGTATAGCTATAAACATCTGAATATTGAAATTAGCCATGTATTTTGAGCAGCTCATTATGCTCCTGGTTTATTGACTTTCTGATGTCTTTCTCTCTTTGTCTACATCGTTCCGTCTCCATGACAGGGATTTGGGAAACAAGTGGATGTGTCATATATTGCCAAATACTACAACATGAGTAAAAGCAAAGTTGACAACCAATTCTACAGTGTGGAAGTAGGTGACTCGACCTTCACAGTTCTCAAACGCTACCAGAACTTAAAACCAATCGGCTCTGGAGCTCAGGGAATAGTTTGGTAAGATACTTTCAGTTTTTCTCAATCTATATTCCTTGTGAATTGAGTAGGCCATCTCTGATATACATTAAATACAAGTATCCTTGACTTATGACCATAATTAAGCCCAAAATTTTGGTTGCTAAGTGAGTCCTTTGTTAAGGGAATTTAGCCCCATTTTATGACCTTTCTTGCCACCAATGTTAAGTGAATCACCACGGCTGTTAAGTTAGCAACCCCATTGTTAAGTGAATCTGGCTTCCCCATTGACTTTGCTGGTCAGAAGGTCTCCAAAGCTGATCCCATGACCCCTGGACATTGCAACTGTCATAAGTACATGCCAGTTGCCAAGCCTCTGGCTTTTGATCACATGATCTCGGGGATGCTGCATGGGGAGTCATAAGTGTGAAAAATGGTCACAAGTCACTTTTTTCAGTGCCAGTGTAATTTCATATGGTCACTAAATGAACTGTTGTAAGTCATGGATTATCTGTATGAGTCATGAATGTTGCCCTACACTTAAAATGTATGCAAGGGTTGAAGTAAGAGGGAAAAAAAATATCGTAACGCTTAAAGATTATAATTTTGGTTTTGGTTTGCTGGTTTTCCCCTCCACTCCAGATTCTACACTGCATGGTCCTAAATGCCACAAATGAAAGTAAATTAACTGTGATTAATTGTGATTGTGATGGAACAGCTACTGGTCAATCTAATAGTCCATGTATAAAAAGTAATTAAAGTATTTTGAGTCTAATGCGGCATACGTATGATAGTTTCTGAGTCTTCCATGCTTATAAAAATATTAGAAGTAACGCATACTTTGAAAAAAAAGTGTTCCTAGACTAAAGGTGCCAGTAATCTGATAATCCCTACTTATTTCTGGAAATAATAGTATTCGGGTTTTTTTCCTGCACATATTAGATACTCGCTAGCAAATGGATATTGTGGTACACAGCTCACACATTTTTGCAGCTTCTTCCAGAAAGATGATTTCAAGCAGAAGAGTAATTTCCCCTTTTGCTGTTCAAGAACAATCTGGGATTTGCCAGGCAATATGTCTCATCCTGTATAATTTTGAAATTGTCACAGATTCAAGGTTCCCAAAGTTGACGTGACCATTAATCCTTCTTCATGGAAGGAAAAAGAAAAACTGACATTTCAGTGAAACATATAAATAATATTGTGAAGGTTGCATTATAAAACAGGAAGGGCTTATCAATCTCACAGTGTAAATAATCAGGTCTTCTATGGTTTATGTAACTATTTCTCTGATGAATGGTCTTGGTTCTGCTGCCTTAAAACCCTCCATAGTCCACTTGTTTCTTTCTTTCCTGAATTGTTTTGGTAGATTGTTTGGATATTCTTCTTATCTTATATTATGAATGAACCGTCACCTTTCTATTAATTTGATAGTTAATTTTATGTTATACAAAGGTGAGAAAATGACAGTCATTTTCAGAAGTCATGGCTTGATGATTAATGTGTGCAGGAGAGCAATTGCATTTGGTGACAGCTCCATGCCCATTGCATGGATCAAACTTAAGTGTGATCCTAAATCCTTTCTCCGTATGCAGGACAAACCATTTCTTCTGTCATTTGTTTTGATGTTAAGATCATACTGAATTTCCTTCCTAACAATGCTTAGGGGACTGGAAGCTAAAACATATGACGAACGGTTGGAGAAATTGGGTATGTCTAGTCTAATGAACAGAAGGACTAGGAGTGACATAATAGCAGTGTTCCAATATTTGAGTGGCTGCCACAAAGACACGGGAGTCAGACTGTTCTCCAAAGCACCAGAAGGCAGGGCAAGAAGGATGGAAACCAATCAAGGAGAGAAGCTAGAACTAAAACTAAGGAGAAATTTCTTGGTAGTGAAAACAATTAACCCGTGGAATGGGTTGCCTTCAGAAATTGTGGGTGCTCCATCACTGCAGGTTTTTAAGAAGAGATTGGACAGCCCGTAGTCCAGAATGGTATAGGGCAGTGGTGGCTAACTTCACGTGCCAGCACCCAGAATGTAATGCACACACCCCCGCCCCCTGCATATGCACATGCAACCCCGCTGCCATCTCCTTACCTGCACTGTCCTCACAGCTGATTTTTCTACTGGCTTGAGGCCTTTTTTGGCCTCCCAGGAGCTTGGGAAAAGCCTCTGCAAGGCTTTTCAGGCCGAATAATATGCCCGTTTCCTCACTTCAGGTATTACAGGAAGTGACGAAACGGGCCTATTCGTCCTGAAAAGCCTTGCAGAGGCTTTTTCCAAGCTTCTGGGAGGCTGAAAAAGGCCTGAAACCAGCAGAAAAATCAGCTGTGAGGCACGCGCATGCGCAGTGAGGAACAATAAACATTTGTGCGTGCCAGCACAAATAGCTCTGTGTGTCATTTGTGGCCCGGGTGCCATAGGTTCGCCATCACAGGTATAGGGTCTCCTGCTTATGCAGGGGATTGGACTAGAAGACCTTCAATTTCCCTTCCAACTCTGTTATTCTGCCAACTAACAAAAACAAGTAGAGGTAGGCATTTGTGATGAATCAGTAGGAGGAAAACACTTCAAATCTACTCAGAGCTGAACTTGTTTTTTGCTTCCACAACCTTCTCCACTCCTATGAGGATTGAAACCACCCCCACATCTGTTCAGAAACATATGACAGTGTCTCACAGGACAATATTTTCTGGCAGATTGGGTTTAGCTCAGATAGGAACAGTCTTTCTCATTTCCTGCTATTTCATCCTTTCAGTAGGAGTGCTGGAGGCTGAGAATTATACTAATAGAAAGTGGGCGTAAAAGTCATAGAAATAAGAATCCTAGATTCATCGAATTATAAAACTGTAAGTAGCTATTAAAGAGAGACCATTGTAGTGGTTAAGGCATTAGACTAGAAACAAGGAGACCATGGATTCTAGTCCTGGCACAAAGCCACCTGGATGACCTTGTGCCAGTAACTCTTTCTCAGTCCTAGGAAGGAGACAATGGCAAAGTATTTCCGAAAAACCTTGCCAAGATAACTGCAGGGAATTATCCAGAGAAGCTCTGAGAACAGGCTGTGATTGAACAGAAGAAAAAGTAGCCATTTAGGCCATCAAGGTCAATTCCCCGTTCAGAAACTAAAATTGTCAGCCATTCAAGGTAGACCAGACCAGAATGCCAGAGTTTTAAATATTACTTTATTATAAGATTACAGTGACAGAATCTTGCCAGTGTGAATGTGCTTCCTTCTTCCCTTTCTTTATCTATGCACAGTAGAGCCACAATACAGTTTCCTCTGCAGGATAGCTTGAGATAGAAAGGATTTCTTTTTTATGGGCTTGATGAGAAGAGTATGGAAGACAACTTTGACAGAGATTTGCAGGAAGTATTAGCTACACAAAAGGGGATGAGACATTTTTTTAAAAAAATTCCAGAACAATGAGTGTTAGTTCAGGCAGATTCTTCCATAAGTAACTGGAATATAAAAAAAAGAAGAGGAGGTACAACACCATCAGTCTGGCTAGATTTGTTATTCTAGCCAACCTCAATAAAAGTAGCTTTAGCTTTCTGGTGGAGTTGATTTCTTGATCTGGACTACCTAGTAGCCTCAACACCTATCCACATGTTGTGTTGATTGTAGTACAAAGGGATCGGGTGTGGGCTGCTATGGGTTTGCTGAGGTGCGGGAGAGGCCCTGGCTATGATTCTGTGCAGTTTGGAGAACACCCAAATCCCACTCCTGGCTGGTACCCGCCCCCTGCCCCCCCAGGAGTCACCACATGGCTTGTTTTGGGTGCAGGGCATGCACGGAGGCTTGGGGAGGGCAAAAAACAGGCCTCCCAGAAGTTTTTATAAATCCTTCCATTCCCCACTATCCAGTCAGAGCTGAAGAAGCTTCTTGGATTTAGAACTAAAACATCCTCAAACAAAAAGAACAAGAAAATCCAGTTGCCTCCTGAAAAAAGCACCTTTGTGACATCCAACTCTTTCCAACCCCATGGACCATAACACACAGCAGTCATGTGCACAATGTGTTTGTGTAATTTGCTTTCCATAGAGAATCCTGAGAACTTATTGTGTCATATAAAGTTAGCAGGGCTGGGGCAGACAAGATCCCCGTAGAGAATAAGGAAACCTAGATGAATGGAATCTAACCATAATCACATCTGACTATGATTATGTTATCTCTTTCCTTCGCCATTAATACTGCAGCTACCAGTTGCAGTAATTGTCCCTCGAGGTCTAAATAGAAAAGTAGTACTTCAGGCATAGAAAAATTCCAGGCTAAAAAATAATTTGTTTTGATAGAAACATCATGAAGTCTGATCTTTTTTGTGCCAAAAGTCCAATGATAAACATTGAACCAACACAACACATGTTATTTTCTCAAGTCTAGGAAAGAAAGATGCTTCATCTCTGTCAAATAGTCTTGGCAATTTAGTCTCAATCCATTTTTTTTTTAGCTGTGGAATTACTTTTCCATTGGGCAACCCTATAGGATTCAATTAATCTATCAGTCCTAGGATTACATAGATGGCACTAGGTTGAGAAAGGTTACAGTATAAATTGGAACCCAATCGTACACTTGCATAAATTGTGTTTTCCATTTCCCTTGATGCCCTAGTACTCTCACACCCTATTGAGTTTTTTTTTTTTAAGAATAAATTTTTATTAAGTAAACGTTAAAAACAGTTGAACGCAGTGCGACTTTCTTGGCCATCATTTTGACCATACAAACTATAGCATAGAAATACATATAACAGTTAATTTTCCCGTTTTTCTCATGTTGTTGATATAACACTAGTTACATATTTGTTTCTATTTGCATTTATATATATATTTACAACCTGGCTTCTTATCCATCTTCTTTTTTCTCTTTATGGTCTTTATATTCACACATTCATATCATATTTGTCCATTATATTTCATTTTTTTAAATTTACAAAACTTTTACTTTCATTCCTATAAAGCATCAACAATTTCTTTTCTTTTTTCTCCTGGACTCCAGCCATTGATATATTTTACTCCAGACTTCATAGTATTCTGTCTT